ATGTGGTATTTTTCCTTCATTGACTGGCTTATTTCACTTAGCATAATGCTCTCCAGTTCCATCCATGACGTTGCAAATGGTAAGAGTTCCTTCCTTTTTAGAGCAGCATAGTATTCCATCGTGTAGATGTACCACAGTTTTCTAATCCATTCATCTACTGATGGGCACTTAGGTTGTTTCCAGATCTTAGCTATGGTGAATTGTGCTGCTATGAACATAGGGGTGCATATATCCTTTCTGATTGGTGTTTCTGGTTTCTTGGGATATATTCCTAGAAGTGGGATCACAGGGTCAAATGGGAGTTCCATTTTCAGTTTTTTAAGGAAACTCCATACTGTCTTCCATAGTGGTTGCACCAGTCTGCATTCCCACCAGCAGTGCACAAGTGTTCCTTTTTCTCCACATCCTCTCCAGCACTTGTCGTTTGTTGATTTGTTGATGATAGCCAGTCTGACAGGTGTGAGATGGCGAACTATATCTTAATAAATTATTAAAAAATTTAAGAAATTCTTATAACTTAAAAGCCCTTACTAAATGAACTACTGAGCTTTGATTCTAACACATTTTAACATCTCTGAAATCATGATGCATATTACAATCAATTGGCAACTTTTATTTTTCATTTTGTTTTCCCTTTTGAAAAAGTCTACAATTTTATTTGCTCAGTTTTCTCTGTTCTTCTTACCCTAGGACAGTGGTCGGCAAACTCATTCATTAGTCAACAGAGCCAAATATCAACAGTACAATGATTGAAATTTCTTTTGAGAGCCAAATTTTTAAAACTTAAACTATATAGGTAGGTACATTGTTATTAACTTAATTAGGGTACTCCTAAGGCTTAGGAAGAGCCACACTCAAGGGGCCAAAGAGCCGCATGTGGCTCAAGAGCCGCAGTTTGCCGACTACTGTCTAGTGTATCTTCAAACTTCCCACCAGCTCAGGCATATTCATTCCGGTGAGGCGCTCTACCTCTTCATCTACTCGAACAAGTCTCCCCGGGGCCTCTGACTTGCTCCATGTGAACTGGTTGTCCTCTAAGCCAGCGGCATCGTCATCTTGGATTCTCCAATCACCATCCTTTGGGGATTTCCTCTCTTTTGTGATGAAGACCTGGTCTCCTGGTTCCTATTCTCCCTTCCTCTTGGTTTAGCCCTTATTTTAATGGGCTCCTTTTTGGTTTCTGGCACCTGAGAATTTCCCTTTCTTGCTTTCAAGCTGCCGTAGTGATGTCATCCTGTCTCATAGCTTCATATTTCATCTACGTCCTGACAACCTGCAAATTATATGTCCACGCTGGAACCCTCCAAACCTGCATATTCAACTGCTCTTTGATATCTCTCCACTTGTGTGTCCATTAGAAATCTCAACCTCAAAATTCCAAAGCAGAACTCCTGATAAGCCCCCTAAATCTGCCCCTTCCTCAGCCTCTGGCTTCTCGGTAAATGGTGTTCTTCCAGGTGCTCAATCTGAAAATCTCAGAATTACCCTTGACTGTTCCTTGTCTCACATTCAATGCCACCAGCAAATCCTTCCAACGTTACCTTCAAAACATATCCAACTTCAACAATAAAAATTTAATAAAATAAAATAAAAAACCAAAAATAAAACAAAAACACCACATATTCCAGAAACCAGTGAATGCTCACAATTTCCATGGCTAATACCTTGGTCCCAACCACCATCACGTCTTGCCTTAATTATTGAAAGAGCTTTCCGTTCAGTGGTGTTGGGCTGCCACATTGGTGCCCGCAGTGAACTATAGCTTCTGTGTTCATGGTGTTGAGCGGCCCCTTTCCTCTAACCTGGCCGGGCCTGGTACCCTGCTTTAAATAAGAGAAGGTGCAGGACGGATGCTTGCTAGTGAATAGCCTAAGCCTTAAGAAGTTCTGGCAGCTTCCACGTGTGCACTTTGGGAAGTCCTGAGCTGCCACATAAGAAGTCTGGCTGTCCTGTTGGAGAGAGCGCATGAAGAGGGAGAGGCTAGAGGCAACCTGGAGGTCAGCCGAGAAACTCAGCCAACAGCAAGAACCAAGCTGTGAGAATATGACCCCCGCGTTGCCATTACAGCCAGCCCCCAGCTGTTTGTGAACATATAGGACATTCCAGGCCCAGCAGGAGCTGCTGGCTCTGCTGTACTCAGGCCAAGTTCCTCACGGTCCACAGAGCCATGAGTAATAATAAAAGTTTGTTGCTTAAGCCTCTAAGTTATAGAGTAGTTTATTTTGCCCCAATAGATAACCTAGAGCAGGGGTCCTCAAACTTTTTAAACAGGGGGCCAGTTCACAGTCCCTCAGAACGTTGGAGGGCCGGACTATAGTTTAAAAAAAAACTATGAACAAATTCCTATGCACACTGCACATATCTTATTTTGAAGTAAAAAAACAAAACGGGAACAAATACATTATTTGTATTTGCATGTGGCCCGCGGGCCGTAGTTTGAGGACCCCTGACCTATAGTATACTCTAGTGTCCCTGCTTCCTCCTTCACACACACCCCTTCAGCCTCTTCTCCCTACAGTAGCCAGCGAGATTCTTTTAAAATATGAGATATCCCCCTGACGGGTTTGGCTCAGTGGATAGAGCATCGGCCTGGACTGAAGGGTACCGGGTTTGATTCCAGTTAAGGGCACATGCCCGGGTTGCAGGCTCAATCCCCAGGAGGGGGCGTGCAGGAGGCAGCCAATCAATGATTCTCTTTCATCATTGATGTTCCTATCTCTCTCTCTCCTTCTCCCTTCCTCTTGGAAATCAATAAAAATATTTCTAATAAAATAAAATAAAAAATAAATAAATAAAATATGAGATGTCATCACTCCTCTGCTCAGAATCCTCCAATGCTTCTTCTCAGACTCAGAGTAAAATCAAAATCTTTTTTAAAAAATATTTTTTTATTGATTTTTTACAGAGAAGAAGGGAGAGGGATAGAGAGTTAGAAGCATCAATGAGAGAGGAACATCGATCAGCTGCCTCCTGCACACCCCGCACTGGGGATATGCCTGCAACCAGGGTACATGCCCTTGACCGGAATCGAACCTGGGACCCTTCAGTCTACAGGCTGATGCTCTATCCACTGATCCAAACCTGCTAGAGCAAATCAAAATCTTTTTTAAAAAAACAATATTATTGAATTTATCAGGGTGGCATTCATTAATAAAATTACATAGTTTCAGGGGTACAATTCTATAATACATCATCTGTATAAAACCAAAATCTTTATGACAGCCTCAAGACCCCAGAGGTGGCAAACAATTGGGCAAATCCTTGTGCCATCAAAAAGAAAATTTACACTTTTCAAGGTTGTTTAAAAATAACACATAAGCCTGGCCAGTGTGGCTCAGCGCTTGAGCATCAACCTATGAACCAGGAGGTCGGGGTTCCATTCAAAGTCAGGGCATATGCCCAGGTTGTGAGCTCAATCCCCAATGAGGGGCATGCAGGAAGCAGCCGATCAATGATTCTCATCATTGATATTTTTCTCTCTCTCTCTTTCTCTCTCTTCCTCTCCCTTCCTCTTTGTGAAATCAATAAAAACATTTAAAAATAAATAAACAAACAAATAAATAAAAGATAAGAGAAAAAACACTCACCAAGACCATACATGGCCGGCAACGCTTGAACTATTTACTCTCTGGCCCTTTCAGAACAGGTTGTTAACCTCTGCCCTGCATAGTCTGGCCCCTGGTGACCCTGGCTCATCTCCTACCCTTGCACATTCCCTGTGTGCACCTGGCTCCAGGAAAACTCGTGATTTCTTGCCATTTCTTGAGGTTATTCCGACCAGCCAGGAATGCTCTTGCCCTGAGGTCTTTGCCCTGCTGTCTTCTCTGCCTGGAATGTTCTTTTCCCAGCTATCTGCCCGGCTGCCTCCTTCTCTTCCTTCAGGTCTTTACTCAAATGGCCCTTCAAGTGGACCTTTTCTGATCACCTTATGTAAAATGACAACCCTCCCGCACACGCTCCCTAACTCTCTCGATTTGTTTGTTGGGGTTTTTTTGGTTTTTCTTTGTATCATGTGTGGGGAACCGATAGAGGGTTAAGCCTCGGACTGAACTGTTGGCAAAGTCACAAACAAGTCCCAGCTTAGAGGGCACAGTCCTCTTAGCACAATTAGGCTTGACCTTATAACACTCCCTAGATCTTACCTGGGAAGCTAATGGGCTGAGGAAGTGCAGGAAGTGTAACTATGGTCAAAACAAGTGAAACTCACAAGAACTGTGTAACTATGGTAACCATTACCTTGTTTACCTCTGACTATAAAATAAAGGCTCAGCTTGCCTCGGGATCTTTTCTTTGTGGTCTCAGCCAGGCGCAGGAAGATCCACGGAGACTAAAGAGAGCTAGAGAGTTCTGAACGCTGTCTCCATGTAACACATTCTTCGCCGACTCCGTCCACACCTTTGGGAACCGCTGGACCGCTGGGGCTGGACCCCGGCAATCATGTATCACTATTTAGTATATATATTTATCTTTTTGTTGTCTTGGCTTATTTTCTATATTCTGCCACTAAAATGTAAACTCCATGTGAGCAGGAACCTTTATCTACTTTCTTCATGGATGGATTCTGTTCTGGGTGCCTTGTGGGTGCCCAATATGTATTTCTTAAATTTATGAATCATGAAAACCTCCACATCCCTCTGTTTTCTGCACAGTACTTCTCAGTACCATATTTAGGAATTTGTCCACAAACTCTTGAGAACGAGGGCCACAGAACAATGCTCAGCAAATATCAAGTATCCAATGTAGCATTTATTCAATAAATAAATACACCCCACACACATATCTTAAAAGAGTGAAGGGGGCTCTGGCTGGCTCCCTCAGTTCGATAGAGCATCGTCCTGATACTCAAAGGCTGCTGGTTCCATCCCCATACAAGAAGCAACCAATGATGAGTGGAACAACAAATTCGTGTTTCTTTCTTTCTCTCCCTCGCTCTCTCTCTCTCTCTCTCATCTCTGAAATCAGTCAATAAAAAAAATAAAAATAATGAATGGGAAATCAACAACTTTTTCAATAATTTTTACTGTGAATGGGAGCAAAGAAATGGGATGGTGGCTGGATGAGAATATAGGGTCAAGGGCGGGTTACAAATGGGGATACAAGTAATAATCCAGATTGACACAATCAATAGCATGGGGGAAAGGAGGGGTTAAAGAAGTAGAGCTCTTGGAGAGGAGAGAGCAGGATGCAGACCATGGGAGGAGAGGCTGCTGGAGATGGGCAGAGATCTATCCTTCCACTGGACAGGAGGCAGGAGCAGCTCCCAGCAGAGTCAGAGCCTCGTCAGTGGGACTATGAGGCCGTTCCCTTCTCCTGGCTTCTAGTTCCTCACCGACGGGTGGGAGACGAGGTTATCTGCTGAGGAGAGAATAGGTATTGGAGGTTTGTGGAGAGAGAAAAGGCAGATTGTAGAGAAAGATAGAGCGCTTACTAGGGAAATGTGAGAGGACCGCTAGGCAGCTATTGAGGCCCATGTAAATGGAAGCAGGCAGCCCAGTCGGTAATTTTTCTTGAACAGCATCCAGCTGCTTGGTTGTAGGTGCAGAAAAGACAGAGTCGCATGCAGTCACAGTAGCTGGAGCAAAGCAATGGTTCTCCGTGTGGGGTCTCCAGACCAGCAGCAACAGAATCATTGAAAACTGGGAAGACATGCCAGTGCTCAGGCCTCATCACAGCCCTCCTGAGTCAGACACTCTGCAAGTGGGGCCAGAACACTGTGTGGGGGTTTTTAAAAAATATTTGTATTGATTTCAGAGAGGGTAACCAAGATAGAAACATTACGAAAGAGAATCATTGATCGGCTGCCTCCTGCACGCCCCACACTGGGAATTGAACCACAAACTCCTGGTTCATAGGTCGATGCTCAGCCACTGAGCCACGCCAAAAACTGTGTTTTAACAAGCCCTTCCTGTGGGTCTGGTGCTAGCTATGCCCAGTCAAGTCTGAGCAACACTGCAATAAAAGGGAAAGAACAAGATGGCCGAGGATACTTATAAGGGAACAATTATAATGGCAGGCTAGAGTCTTAATTAAAAATGAAAGAAAAGCCGAAACCGGTTTGGCTCAGTGGATAGAGCGTCGGCCTGCGGACTGAAGGGTCCCAGGTTCGATTCCGGTCAAGGGCATGTACCTGGGTTGCGGGCATATCCCCAGTGGGAGATGTGCAGGAAGCAGCTGATCGATGTTTCTCTCTCATCGATGTTTCTAACTCTCTGTCTCTCTCCCTTCCTCTCTGTAAAAAAATCAATAAAATATATTTTTAAAAAAAAATGAAAGAAAATAAGGTCAAATAATTGTAGAGTGCTGTACTTATTTTCTATTGTTGCCATAGCAAATTACCACAAACTAAGTGCCTTAAAAAAACACGCCCACTGGTTATCTCATCATTCTGCAGGTCAGAAATCCAGGTAATGGCATGGCTCAATGGAGTCCTCTGTGCAGAGGCCCAGAGAGGCAGAAATCCTGTGCTGATGGGACTGCATTCCTTCCTAGAGATTCTACAGATAAATCTTTTTCCAAGCTGACTCAGGTTGTTAGCAGAATTCAGCTCCTTGTGGTTACAGGGCTCAGGTCCTCATTTCCTTGATGGCTGTCAGCCAGGAACCTCAATCACCCTCTTAAAACTGCCTCTGTTCCTTGTCATGTTGCTTCTAACCAGCAAGGTGGTGATCAGAAGGGTGACTTAAGATAGTGGTCTTTAAGCTGGGGCTTCGCGGGGTGTGCAGGCATGGACAGTTTGAAGGGATCCATTTAAAGGGGATCCTTGACTTCCAGAGGTACTTTTGCCTAAAATGGATCTAAGGCTGGAATCAGGGTTACCACTATGCCTGCTGTTATTTCCCACCATCCTTTTCACAATCCCCCTTCTCTTTACAAAAGAAAGATCCCTCTCTCACCCGTCCTGAATTTTATATTACACATTGACCCAGGGCATAGGAATTCATCTCTTTAAAAAGACACCTGAATCGGCTCCGGTCTGTCCCTGTCTTGTGCAATATTGCTGTTAAGTGTGTGCATCACATTGGAAACAGGGACAGATGGCACCTGCTGAGATGTTCCCGTGTAGACATATGATAGAGCGGGGCCAAGGAATAACGACAAGCTGTAGTCCTTCCTCCATCTCCAGATGCTGTGAAATAATGTGTTGCTTCAGGAACAGAATCCTGTAGGAGCAAAGCAAAGAGACGTTCAGAAGGAAATCCCAAGAGGGGCAGCACCTTATACGATCCAGGTGTAAACCCAGGGCAAGGCTCTCTGCCTCCTCTAGCCATTCAGTTTAGAACTAGAATTCAGACGAGATATGTTTGTTGCCGGGAAACACAATATATTTATTTATTTTTATTGATTTCAAAGAGAGGGAGGGAGAGGGAGAGAGAGAAACATCAATGATGAAAAAGGATCATTGACCAGCTGTCTCCTGCACGCCCCCTACTGGGGATCAAGCCCGCAACCCAGGCATGTGCCCTTGACCAGGAATTAAACTACTGGTATAATCTTGTTCATAGGTCGACACTCAACCACTGAGCAATACTGGCCAGGCACAATATATTTATCAAAATCAAAAAATGAAACCTGATTGGAAAATTAATTTGATAATACACTGGTTTAGATGGGATGAGTCAAATCTGCAGCTCCAAAGTTTGAGAAGTTATACATAGTCCTTTACTAAGATAAAAGCATTTCATTAAATAATTATATTAGCAAGGCATACTAAAGTTATTATTTTATGTTCCAAATTTTTTCTGAGTATATTTGGTTAAATAAGGTGCCTCTATATGAAGGAATAAAAGATATAAGTAACATTAATTTGTTAAGTCTTGCTAAAGCCTTTCTTGGTATGCTTCCCAGAAACTGAAAAGGGAGTGAGTCTGAGTAACAAATCCTTTTGAAAGTCAGTTGGTTTCTAATTCCTTTGCTTTCAACAAAAGAGAAAATTGAGTTGTCAGCCAACAGATTATTAAAAATAAATTTTGATAATAGATTGCTGTGTGATTTTTGGATATCACTCAGAAGGGGCTCAAGTAATTGAGAAAGTCTATAATCACAGAACTCCTTCCATTCTCATTTATTTGAACAAAGTAATATTTAACCACATGGAGTAATAAAAACACAGGCTATCAGTTGATGGTCATTGGTGCCAATTCAACGCCAACAGGAATCCCCAACTTGGGGTGTGACGAAGAAGGAAACTGTATCAGTGCAAAACAGCTCCATTGTAAAACAACACGGCCATGAAAACAGTATGGCTGTACAGTAACTCAGTAATGTTATAGCTCAATTATAAAGCAGCACGGCTGTGAAGAGGCCCTGGGTCCCCTGTTTGGCTAGGCAGCTTGGTTCCTAGAGATGTTTTAGCTGCGACCTGGGAAGCAAAACACACTCTTCAGTTTTTGGTGAAAGGAAAGTGCACTCTCTGAGCCAGAGGGGAACTGGCTTAGTAGACAGAAGTCCCCATCTTTGGTCCCCGATTGGTCCATTCCCATGCAAATGAGGACTCCAAATCCTTGAAGTTTGAGTGATCCAAAAGGTACTGTCCTGATTGGTCAGAACGGAGGCTCTCTGATTGGTTGGTGAAGATACTGATGGGAATATAGCTCCAGTTGGATGGGGAAAGCCTCAGTCCTATTGGTTGAAATAGGATTCTAGGAACTCCTCTATAAGCACTGGCTTAAATGGAAGGAACACAGTGCAGGGGGGTGGTTTAGTGCAGGCTGCAGTTTGTGTGAGAGGCCCCTATGTAGAAATAGGGGGCACTAGGCCAGTGGTTCTCAACCTTCCTAATGCCGCGACCCTTTCATACAGTTCCTCATGTTGTGGTGACCCCCAACCATAAAATTATTTTCGTTGCTACTTCATAACTGTAATTTTGCTACTGTTATGAATCGTAATGTAAATATCTGATATGCAGGATGTATTTTCATTGTTACAAATTGAACATAATTAAAGCAGAGTGACTAATCACAAAAACAATATGTAATTATATATGTGTTTTCCGATGGTCTTAGGCGACCCCTGTGAAAGGGTCGTTCGACCCCCAAAGGGGTCGCGACCCACAGGTTGAGAGCCACTGCACTAGGCTGTTTCTTTATTGATTTCAGAGAGGAAGGAAGAGGGAGAGAGAGCTAGAAATATCAATGATGAGAGAGAATCATTGATCGGCTGCCTCCTGCCCGCCCCCCACTGGGGATCGAGCTCGCAACCCAGGCATGTGCCCTTGACTGAAATCGAACCTGGGACCCTTCAGTCCACAAGCCAACGATCTATCCACCAAGCCAAACCAGCTGGGGCATAGGCTGTTTCTTTAAATGTAAACCCAGTTAAGCCACTGGAAGTCCTTCTCAGTAGGTTTCTTCTTTCTCAGGGTCCACAAGACCTATCCACCTCATTAAGAGAGACATTTTCATTGAAAATTTTTTCATGTTTAATAATTATTTATCATAATTGATAAAAACATTTCTATTGTTTTGATCAAATATGTACTACTAATGATTATAAAAATTCTAATTCAGTCCAGAAGAAATTTAACATCTATAATCTAATGATCAAAGGAGATAGTTTTTATTTCAATTCATATATATGTATTTTCTTATTACAGAAAAGACTAATAACATAATCACTAACAGACTTTCCAAGAATAAAAATATGGCCCTTGCTGAAACCGGTTTGGCTCAGTGGATAGAGCGTCAGCTTGCGGACTGAAAGGTCCCAGGTTCGATTCCGGTCAAGGGCACATGCCTGGGTTGCGGGCACATCCCCAGTGGGAGATGTGCAGGAGGCAGCTGATCGATGCTTCTCTCTCATCGATGTTTCTAACTCTCTATCCCTCTCCCTTCTTCTCTGTAAAAAATCAATAAAATATATATAAAAAATAAATAAATTAAAATGTTACAAAGGATTTAAATGATAATATATTAATAATCCAGAAATTACACCCTTTGAAATTATTTTTAATATACTTTTATTTATTTCAGAGCGGAAGGGAGAGGGAGAGAGAGAGATAGAAACATCAATGATGAGAGAGAATCATTAATCGGCTGCCTTCTGCATGCATGCCTCTACTTGAAATCAAGCTCGAAACCTGGACATGTGCCCTGATGGGGAATCGAACCTTGATCTCCTGGTCCATAGGTTGATGCTCAAGCACTGAGCCACACCAACCGGACCTTCGAAAGAGGCCTGATGCATGAAATTCGTGCAAGGGCTCAACCCCACTGCTGCTGCCTCGGCCAGCTCTGGCTTGGCTCCCCGCCTCCGCGGTTTTGTCCAGAAGGTCATCCAGTCTAATTAGCATATTACGCTTTTATTATTATAGAGTATAATACAAATTCTAAAACTGATTTGGGGAATACAGAAGCTAAAAAGTTTGAAGACTTCTGGCTGAAGACAAAATCAGCACATACTGGCCTATAGTAGGTGCACCAGTAATCTTTGCTGAATTTAATTAGCAACACACGTAAAACTAGAGTCAGAGAGACCAACAAGAGATTGTTGCCATGGTTCATATTCACTGATGGACTGGCCACTCTGTGCTGGGAGCTGGAGGCACTATGTCCTATCTGGAAATCAGACAGTAACCACAGGCTTGCCCTAGTGGAGTTCACAGGCCTGGAGAGAGGCACGGAGGCCAAAACCAAGCCACTCGCTGGCTTATTTGCATGTCTGTGTTTTCGGCCTCTATATTCCTTTTTTAAAAATAAGTCTCACTTGCTGAAAGTCTAAGTCCAAAAACTGAGTACTCAATTGCAGGATCTCCTTGAAACTGACTGATTTTGTTGCCCAGCCCCCATTCACCACCAATTTATTAAAAATGTATTTTTATTGATTTCAGGGAGAAAGGGAGAGAGAGAGAGAGAGAGAGAGAGAGAGAGAGAGAGAGAGAGAGAGAGAGAGAGAAACATCAATGATAAGAGAGAATCATTGATTGGCTGCCTCCTGCATGCCCCCTACTGGGGATTGAGCCCACAACCCAGGCATATGCCCAGACCGGGAATGGAACCGTGATCTCCTGGTTCATAGGTAGATGCTCAACCACTGAGCCACGCTGGCCAGGCAGGGAACACCTTTTTGATGTGACATTTAAGCAGAAACATGAAGAAAGTGAAGAAGCAACATTTTTGCTCTGGGAAAGACTTTCTAGGCAGAGGAGCACAAGTGCAAAGGTCCTGAGGCAGGAGTATGCTCTGCATGTCAAAGGAGGCCAGTGTGACAGGAGTGAAATGAGTGGGGAAGCGTGAAAGGGGGAAAAAAGGAATACACTCAATCTCCCTCATCTTGCTTCATTTCTCTCTGTTGACTTATCATTGCCTGTTTGTTGTCTGTCTTCCCTAACCAGAATACAAGCTCCATAGCAGCAGAGAGTTTGTTTTCTTCACATCTGTCTTCTCAGTGCTTAGACTGTCATGTAGTAGACAGTCATTAAATATGTACTGGATGGATGAATGAATGAGTGAATGAAACATGGCTTTTCTGGAGCTTAAAGGTTTATCATGACAACAGAAATTGGCCAGAGAAAAGAGACCTCAGCATGAACTCTCTGAACACAATATTCATGGCAATATCACACACACACACACACACACACACACACACACACACACACACCAATACCCTGAAACTCCTGCAAATGTACAACAAAGGGAAATGATTAAGTGTGCCTGTAGGGTGGAAAAGTATGCATTCATTAAACATTAATTATGAATACAGCAAAATATTTATGGTATGGTAAAGAAAAGTAGATTGTAAAACAGAACAGTTCTTTTTATTTTTTTTATTTTTTTTTTATTTCAGAAAGGAAGGGAGAGTTAGAAACATCAGTGATGACAGGGAATCATTGATTGGCTGCCTCCTGCATGGCCCCTACTAGGGATTGAGCCCGCAACCTGGGCATGTGCCCTTGACCAGAATCGAACCCAGGACCCTTCAGTCCACAGGCCGACTCTCTATCCACTGAGCAAAACTGGCTAGGGCAGAACAGTTCTTAATATAAAATTACTGTACCGCTATAATCACAGCAATGCAAAATGTGATTATATTTTGCAAAATGTGATTACCTACCAAAGGACAGTTGATATTAAAACAAAATTTGTAACTGTGTTAGGCCTATTAGTGGGCTTATAGGTGGTTTTGTAATCTTTTTCTCTTCACAATTAAAAAAAAAAAAAAAAAAGTCCTGTATTGTTTTTTCCATAAAAGGAACATGTTTTAGCTCCCTGGGCACATTGGCTGAGGAAAATCCCAGCCCTGTGAAGTCAGCACCCAAGTTCCCCCAGAGACTCCCATGGGAGGCAGAGGGGTCCTGGGCCAGGCCCATGCACTTCTGAGTGGTAAGTGAAGCATAGAGCGTTTGCATGACTAACTTGGGGGAGGGGAAACCACCAGAGATCTGTTTCTATTTAAGCTCAGAGAAATGCAGAAGTAAATCTACTTGAGCCTAATTTGGTTTTAAAACGAAACCCACCATGCCATGGAGTTTTTGTGAGGGGGGGCTGGACGGGGAGGGAGTCTGTAAGGAGGGAGAGTCAAGTCCGGGCTATAGTGACACTCACAGGATAACCAAGCTCTTCCACGGGGTCCAGATTCCTGGGCCTCAGGCTCCTCAGTGGAGCCTCAGGGTTGGTGCAAAGGGTTCTGAAACCATAAACCACTGAGCATTGATGGACAGGCCAGCATTTCTTCACCAAACTGTTATAAACTCTTCAGTCATCATACAAGCTATGGAACTTCTTCCCAGAAAAATGCACATGGACCCACATTTTTGAGACAATTTCAGGGTTTCCACGGAGCCCCTGAGTTCTAGACCCACCTCCTTGTCCCTGTACCTCTCCCCCGCCCCCCTTTAGGAATCTTGCTGGGCTTCAATAAATACAATGTCTTACATAAGATGCATACAATGTGTACGTTATTGTTCCAAATCTGTTGATTGGATTGTGATAGATATAAATTCACTCAAAAGAAATACGGAAGTCAGAGACTTCTTGGTGTTGTTATGCATGTCCTCCAGAGAAAAAGTAAACGCCTGTGCAGGTTCAGGAGCGTATTAAGAGGGGTCTCCTATCGCAGGGGTCCCCTGTCCCTGCAGCAAGCCTATCTCCCAGCGTCTCTTCCAAGAGAGTGGGTCCAGCCTGCCGTTCCTCTGCCCCAGGGCCCGGGCTCTGCAGGGCGCAGGGCTCTGGGAGGACCCCGGCTTTTCAGGCGGAGGGGCGGGGAGAGTTGTCACGGAAATACTGCCACCACTGGCTGATGCACATGTGTTTAAAGTTTTATTCTCCATTTATGACCGGGTTTTCCGGACGTAGATTGTCAGCGCGTGTCCAAAGAGTTACAGTCTGAGCTGGGCGCGACATACAGTCATTGGGGTCGCTCCGGGTGAGCGTCTTTGGATGGTGTCCCCAGGGCCGGGGGGGGGGGGGGGGGCGCAAGGGGGGGGCGTGGGCGACTGTCACCCGCCACCGCAACCCGCAGAATGTCCTGCCCTCGAGCTCCCTCGCTCGGGCGCGCGGGGGAGCTTAGCCCTGACCTGGGGAGCGCACCGCCTTCGGGCACGAGGGGCGCGCAGTGCGCGGTGGCGGCCGCAGCGCTTGAGGCTCCGCTGCCCGCACGCATCGGCCTCGGGTTGGACCGCATCGGCCTCGGGTTGGACAACACGGGGCCCAGGCTATGCGGTCCCTCACCCTCCGCAGGGCGGCTCGCAGCTTAATGGGGAGATAGAGAGAGTGGAGGGGCGGGCGCAAAGCCCAACCCATCCTCCATTCCCCATCACTGATCTTCCCAGGACCATACCCCCTGGCTCTCCACTCATCTCCGAGATGCTCAGAACTGATTTCGACTTTGGCAACCGAACCGGGTTGGTTCTAGGCGCTCCAGGCAGGCTCAGTGCCTGGCTCATTTGACAATAGTCTCTGGCACACACAGTGGGTATGTGTACATCTGTTATTTTTCATGTTTGAACCGTGTTTGCTCCAACACTTCCCCCAGTGGGTGCCGTCAGCACTGCTGGGCAGGATGGAGGACAGCTGCGGAAGTGGAGGGAAATATGCGGGCCCCGCAAGCAGTTCTGAGCTGGAAGTCCAGCGCCCTTTCCAGGCGCAACGTCTCGGAAATCCACGCAGAGTGTCAAACCCCTCGGCCGCCAGCCTAGGGGACAGGAAAGTGGAAATGCCCGAGGGGAGAGCCCACAGGGAACAGTCCACACCCCACAGCTGGGTACAGGCCCGGCTCTACTGGTTACAGGAGACATGGGATTGGAGAAGCTCGAGGCCCCAGGAGACCTGGACAGAAGGAGGCCGGCCAAAGGCGCCCGAAATCCTCCCGTGGGGACAGTACGACACATTCACCCGCGTTCGGAGGTGAGCGCCCCTGGGGATCTGCCCACACTTCCAGGTTCTGGGGGACAGGGGCGGCCTGCCTGCAGGGGGCAAAATGTTCCGTTGGTTCTGCTGGGCTGGGCTGACACCAGAGCCAAAAATAGAAGGTGAGATCAACTGAAAGGAACAAGACTGAGCAAACATTCGTGTACATATAATCCTGATGAGACACACAGTAAAGTAGCATCCCAAACACAGCAGTGGGGGAGGATTACTCAGTATAGCACACTCAGGTAAATGAAAGAAATTTTGGAGGATAAAAGTAAATTCTGTATTATACTTCAAAATAAATTCAAAGTGGATTAAAATACTAATTATTTTTTAAAACAGTCGTAGAAACACTATATAAGTAGGATAAACAGTTTTATATTTATGGCTAAATGTCAGCTTTGAAACAACAGAAGAAACTTCAAAGGAAGACTAAAATTCAAAAATATAAAAACTGGACAGGAGTTTTAAAAGGCAAAAAAGGTTTGAGAAAAATGTTTGCACTAAATACAAGCAGAAAGTACCTCAAATGTATAAGTTACAGCTGCTTGTTTAAATAGATCAAAACTTTATTAAACTTTTTGTTTAATAGAAGATTCTACTAATGACCCCAGTAGAATGCCATTGAATTTTTTTAAATTAGGCGTGAAGTAGTACTTTGAATATTTAACCATTTATTTACTTTATATACATAGGAGGACAATGATGAATTTATTGAGCTAAAGTGATATAATCAAATATCTGTTATTTTTTCTTCACTAAACTAACAAAACTTTAGCCTCAATGGAAGGTGACATTGCAACAAGATTGCTTCACCCCATCCTCTTCTCAGAGCTGGAGTCAAGCCGGCATGAAATGCTGCACTTCATTTTCAGCACACTCGGTCCTTTTCTTTTTAAATATGTTTTTATTGATTTCAGAGAGAGGAAGGGAGAGGGAGAGAGAGACAGAAACATCAATGGTGAGAGAGAATCATCTACCGGCTGCCTCCTGCACACCCCTCTGGGTATCCAGCCCACAACTTGGGCATGTGCCCTGACAGGGAATCAACCTGTGATCTCCTGGTTCATAGGTCAATGCTCAACCACTGAGCCACACCAACCAGGCACACTCGGTCCTTTTCTAAATAAAGGATCTAATGATATGAATTAAAGCACTGCTCCAGTTCAGGAAAAGTGTCTTCAAAGTAAAAGCAAAAAGAAGCCTTGAGTGGGCTTATCCAGTTTTGTGGCTTTGAATATCATCACTATCCTAATGATTCTCAAACAGATCCCTAACAGAACCTCTGCCCCGAACTCCAGACTCAAATATCAGTCTGTCTATTGACCTCTCAAAATGGATGTCATACTTTTTTTATGTCCAATACTGCCCACCTGTTCTCCAGCCCTCCTCCCCAAAACACCCCCTACCCCCACAAAGTAGTTTCTCTAACAGACTTCATCTCAGTTCATAGCAAGTCTTTTGTTTGTTCAGCCCAAAAACTTGGAGTCATCCTTGACCCCTCTCTTTCCCTTAAAAGCTGTCAGGTCACTTACGTTCTCTACTAAAGTCTTCTACCCTTGTCTCCCCATCCATTAGCTGTAAAAACTCACCATGCCCTAAAGGCCCCATCACCTCTCTGACCTTTTCTCCTACTACTCTCCCCTTCCTTCACTCCTCTCTGTCACCCTGGCCTCCTTGCTGCTCCTCAAACACGCCAGGCTCCTGCCCACAGGCCTGTGGACTTGTTTCCTCGGCCAGGAATGCTTCTCCCCTTATCCGTGTGGTCTGTGCCTCACTTCCTTCAGGTCTTTACTCAAAAGCCAAAACAACTTTCTCAGAGTCAAAGACACAACAACTCCAAGCTTTGGATTTTCCACTTTACCTAAAGAGATATATGCATTTTACTTGTTTATTTTGTGTATTATCTGTATCTCCCCATTAGACTGTAAGTCTCTGAGGGCAGGGGTTGTGGTATGTTTTGTTCACTGATGGGCTCAGAACAGTGCCTATCACATGGTAAGTACTTGATAGTCACTGAATAAAAGACAGGAAGAAGGGAAAACAGATAACAACAATGTGGACTGGTGCCAGGGTCTCCAGTTTCAATCCCCTGACATCTGGATTTTCTCTCTTCTACACCATTGAAGCTGCTCTTTCCAATGTCACCAGAGAGTTTCATGTTGCTAAACTACAGGGACACTTCAGTCCTTATCTTATTCGTCCTCTTCTCTATATTGACCACTTCCTCATTCTTGAAATTCTCTTCTCCTAGGGCTACCAAGACAGACACCTCTCATTCTCTTCCATCTCCTTGGATGCTCTTTCTCCATCTTCCTCAATAATTCATTTTCCCTCATCAACCCCATAAATAGTATTGTTCCCAGGTTTCTGCTCTGGGTTTATTTCTCTATTTACAAATTTTTCTCAGATTATCTCTCACAACTTAAGGTTTCAGTAACTACTCAAATGACGATGGTGCACAAATCTGAATCTTGGGCATTGATGTATAGCTGATAACCCATTGGATGTTGCCACCAGCGTGCCCCTCAGAGACCTTAAACCCACCACATCCAAAACTGAACTCTGTTCTATAACCTGAGCTCTCCTTTCTCTTCACTAAGACATTATATACCCTGTGTGAAATAGTAGAATCTATATTAAGACCAGCAGATACCACCTCTCCCCTGGATAGAAAAGGAAACTTGAACAGTACTTACTATTACAAATTTAAGATGCATTAAAATATTCCAATCATTCTTTTCATTCAGCAAGTTGGTGAACATAATCTTGCCCTTTAAGTCCTGAGTTGCTCAACTGTGGTTTCTTCTTATACAGATGGTTTCGGGAGGAAATGCTGGGCCTTGGTCAGCTGCCCGTTTTGGGTTGGCGGTTGACCTGAGTCATGGAGTCTGGAGCAGAGTCTGGGTAAGCATTCAGACACAAATTCTGCTTTATTGCAGATATTAAGCTTTCTATGAGAAGAGGCAAGGTCACATGTAAAGCTAAAACTTGATGTCCTCTGAGGACGCTCCAGAAAGTACCAAAGTTTCTGAGTGTCATATCCTTTCCTGAACCACAGTTGACAGAAGATGGAGTTTGAAAGAGGCCAAAGCTGTAGTGGTAATAGCTCTTCTCACCTCCCTAAGTTGTTACAACTCATATTCCTTGACTGACAAGGCCTAGGACATCTTATGTGCTTTTCTTTCATTTGTTCATTCATCATTATTTTCAACTCCTCTCTGGAAAAGAATTAACAAAAATTCACATCTCTCAGCAGTTTATCGCAGAATTGAAACCTTAGAAATGGAAAACATGAATCTGGCAAAGTGAAGCTGGGTTCCCAATACCATTGTACAAAACTAGCTCACTTCCTCCCTTTTAACACACATGTATGCTCTCACCAGCCTAATATCCCATCCACTATTATTTCTCTGTGCCTCGTTCATGCTAATCCCTCTACCTAGGAAACTTTACCTTACTCGTTTGGCAAACTCTCATTCATTGGTTAAGTCCTTGATGAAGTGTCACCTCTCCTAGGAACAGCAACATTTACCTCTACCCGTTGGATTGCTTATTATTTGGTCCCCACAGTGAGTTACGCGTGCTCTAAAAGAGCACTTACTGTAACTAGTTAGTTGTTTCTAATACCTCCACATAACTGTGTGCAATGGAGAGGGGATATTTGTATCTCACTGCCTATCACTAGCTAATAAACCCTAGCACAGTGTAGATCAGGGGTGGGCAAACTTTTTGACTCGAGGGCCACAATGGGTTCTTAAACTGGACCGGAGGGCCGGAACAAAAGCATGGATGGAGTGTTTGTGTGAACTAATATTAATTCAAAGTAAGCATCATTACATAAAATGGTACGGTCTTTTGTTTCAATAGTTTTATTCATTTCAAACGGGCCGGATCCGGCCCACGGGCCGTAGTTTGCCCACGGCTGGTGTAGATCCTCAAAATACATGTTGATTGAAAAAATGAATCAAGGAATGCAACCAACAAAGGAAACATGGGTGTACCTCTACCCTATACTTCAGTCCATTCAGTGTTGGAGCCAGGAACCTATTTGGAAAGCACATGGTGGGACTAGGTTTTCTGCCTTCTCCAACTTCATTATTCCCTCCACCCCTCTGAATGAAGAAGTTTGAAATACCACCTTTTTCCAAATTTATTTGTAAAATCCAAGACTCCTCACTGGTTTTTATCTCCAGCTTCTTTAAGTACAGCACCTTTGACAGAGCAATAGCATGAGGCAGACAGGAAAACAAAGTGCACATTGTAATTATTGTCCAAATCACTGGCCACATCTCTTTCGCTGTTAATGGAACTGTGTGGTCCCTACTCCTGTTCTGCAGAGGTCAAGGTCTATCAGCAGAATTCTTTCCGGAACAGCTGTGTGTGGTGCTTTGCACAAAGTAGTCACTAGAAAATGGATGCTATAACCATATGTAACCAGGACAGAGAGGTGGGCCAGGAGGAGATGCTGGGGAATCTTGACTCAGCAGAAGCCCCAACCAAGGGATTTTACCATGAATCCTGGGATCTTTGGCATACATTTCTCAGTCATATAAGATCTAGAATATTTAATTCAAGGCTGCCAGTTCAGAGAAATACATTGCACTAGAAACTCACCTCAACATAGCTTATGCCCAAAAAGAGGAATATAGTCATAAAACCAAGATTGGCTTCAGGTACTGATACACTGTCAGATCATGCTCTCCTCTGTTCTCAATGCTGAGTCTGTGTTGATTCATTCTCTTCTCCTACACAGGCTTTTCTAAGCAGTGGGAAGCTTGGCTTCCCCATCTTTGCCAACATAGCAATTGGAGCATGCCGGGAGCCGGTCCATGCTTGCTGTTTCAAGGGACCTGGCATATATGGCATACTGTTCTTAATATGTTTGCTCACCTTCTTGGCACTATGTGTTTTAACCAAGGTCTCTGAGAAAGGTTGTTTCCCCAGGTAGGGATTTTCCCCTGAAGTTAGGGAGGGAATAATACCTCTTAACTAAGTGCCAGGCGGGTAATTAATCACTTTAACTACGAACAATCATGCTTAAGCTACATAATCTTTACTCCCTGGAATGGAGATAAGAAACGCCCTAACCTTTGTAATAGAGATTGATAGGATTTGAATCAACTGGTATAAATACAGATGTAACAACACAAAACTCAGAAGACAGAACCAGGAGGCACAGAACCTTCACAGAACGTTCTCTAGAGACAGAAGAACTTTGCTGGGGAGAACATGGCAAAAGATCCTGGACTGAACCTGACTATAGAAATTGGCAAGAGAACCTGACTAGAACCTGGTGACCGAACCTGGCTGGAGAACCTGCACAGAACCTGGCTGGAGAACCTAGCGAGGGAACATGGCTACAGAACCTGGCTGGAGAACCTGGAGAACCTAGCAAGAGAACATGGACACAGAAACTGGCTGGAGATCCTAAGCAGAACTTCGCTGGAGATCCTGAACAGAACTTGGCTGGAGATCCTGGCTAGAGATCCTGGCTGGGCTGCTGATCAACTGAACACTGTCTCCGTGTCATTCCTTCTTCGCCGACTCCATCCACACCTTTGGGGACCCCTGGACCTGCTGGGGTTGGACCCCGGCAGGAGCATATGCAAGATTCCAGGAAAAACTTAGTTTGGCCCCGCCCAGATCACATAGGTGCCTCTGTATTCAAGGGAATGGTCCCAGAAATCTGGGGGAGCAGAGGCATGATCACTGGACAAATCTTTACCAGACAGGTGATTTGTATTGACTGCATATGTTAATAACTTAAGATATTTTTAAAGTTTTTTTTATTACAAAATGGACTGATTGGGTAAAATGTGGAAAGTTCAGAAAAGAAAAAAATCCCATAATCCCACCAAATGATAGCCATTGTTAGCCTTCCATTCTCGTTTAATGCTTTATTTTCAATCTTCATCCCAAAATATATTTTTGCATTGATTTTTTAGAAAGAGTGAAAGGGAGGGAGGAGTGAAGGGAGAGAAACATTACTGTGAGATACACTGACTGGTTGCCTCCTGCACATGCCCCAACTGGGGCCGGGGATCAAACCTGCAACCAAGGTACATGCCCTTGACCAGGAATTGAACCTGCAATCCTTCACTTTGTCAACTGAATGCTCTAAACACTGAGCAACTGGCCAGGGCTTGTTTAATGCTTAAAAAAAATAAATCCCGTATATACAATTTTGCTGAGTTTTTCACTTTTACATTATAACACATGCATTTCTCCTAGTCATAAAAGCTCCTGCAACATCGCTTTATATAGCTATACAGTGTACGCTGAAAACTTTTTTTTTAAATATATTTTATTGAGTTTTCACAGAGAGGAAAGGCGAGATAGTTAGAAACATCGATGAGAGAGAAACATCGATCAGCTGCCTCCTGCACACTCCCCACTGGGGATGTGCCCGCAACCAAGGTACATGCCCCTGACCGAAATCGAACCCGGGACCCTTCAGTCCGCAGGCCGACGCTCTATCCACTGAGCCAAACCGGTTTTGGCGAAAACTTTTTTTTTAAAATATATTTTATTGATTTTTTACAGAGAGGAAGGGTGAGGAATAGAGAGTTAGAAACATCGATCAACTGCCTCCTGCACACCTCCCACTGGGGGTGTGCCAACATCCAAGGTACATGCCCTTGACTGGGATCAAACCTGGGACCCTTCAGTCCGCAGGCTGACGCTCTATCCACTGAGCCAAACCAGTTAGGGCCGCTGAAAACTTTTTAATGACCTCATTCAGAAGGAAAGAAGGCAGTGGAGTGAGATGGTATTTTCAATTCATGGGACTCAATCCCAGAGAAGGGGCCATCAGACTGGAATTCTCTTCCCCCATTTCCTGCATTTCTCCAAACACTTCCAAACTTGTCTCATCCACACTCTTCCTCTGCTCCAGACTCAGAGGACTTGCTATGAATTTGGTTAGTGGTTCAGCCAAACACCCTAGGTTTGAATCCTGACATTTTGTAGCTATGTAATCTGGGAAATGTCTTACCTTCCTAAAAATATGTGCACAGTGGGGATTTTGACATAGTTCTTAAAAGGATTAAGTAACATCTACACTAATAAAAGACAAAGATGCTAATTGACCGTAACTTCACTACACCCCCAAGCCATGCCCACCAGCCAATCAGAGCGACTATATGCAAATTAACCCAACCAAGATGGCGGCCGGCAGCTACAGAGCTGGAGCAAGCAGGAGGCTTGGTTGCCTGGGCAATGGAGGATGCCAAGCTTCCCGCCTGCCCTGAGCTGGCTGTGGCCTCCGCTCATGGCAACAAAGTTTCAATTATAGAAGACAAATAAATCCCAGATACCTGCCTCCAGCTGGCCTCCACTGGGAGCTTGGGTGGCTGGGGGCCATGGCCAGCCTGCAAACAGCCATCAGTCCCTCACCCAGGCTGGCCACACCCTCATGGGGTGAGGGTCCCCACTGGGGGGCTTAGCCAGCCTGAAAACAGCCCTCAGCCCCTCACCCAGACTGGCCAGGCACCCCAGCAGGACGCCCCACCCTGAAGGGGCTGTGGCCAGCCTGCAAACGGCCCTCAGCCCCTCACCCAGGCTGGCCAGGCACCCCAGTGGGGACCCCCACACTGAAGGGACTGTGACCAGCCTGCAAACAGCCATCAGCCCCTCACCCAGGCTGGCCAGGCACCCCAGCGGGGATCCCCACCCTGAAGGGGCTGTGGCCAGCCTGCAAACAGCCATTAGCCCCTCACCCAGGCTGGCCACACCCTCATGGGGTGAGGGTCCTTGCTGGGGGGTTTGGCCAGCCTGCAAATAGCCATCAGCCCCTCACCAAGGCTGGCCACACGCTCATGGGGTGAGGGTCCCTGCTAGGGGGGCTTGGCCAGCCTGCAAACTGCCATCACCCACTCAGCCAGACTGGCCAGACACCCCAGCAGGACACCCCCCCCCCCACCCTGAAGGGGGTGTGGGCAGCCTGAAAACAGCCCTCAACCCCACACCCAGGCTGGCCAGGCACCCCAGTGGGGACTGCCACACAAGGTGCTGTGGCCAGCCTGCAAACAGCCATCAGCCCCTCACCCAGGCTGGCCAGGCACTCCTATATAATAAAAGGGTAATATGCAAATTGACCCTAACAGCAGAACAACTGGGAATGACTGGTCACTATGACACACACTGACCACCAGGGGGCAGATGCTCAATGCAGGAGCTGTCCCCTGGTCAGTGAGCTCCCACAGGGGGAGCTCTGCTCAGCCACAAGCCAGGCTGCCGGCTACCAATACAGCGGTGGTGATGGGAGCCTCTCTAGCCTCCTCAGCAGCGCTAAAGATGTCCGACTGCAGCTTAGGCCTGCTCCCCGCTGGCAAGTGGACATCCCCCGAGGGCTGCCGGGCTGCCAGAGGGATGTCTGCCAGCTTAGGCCCAATCCCCCCGGGGAGCGAGCCTAAACCAGCAGGTGGTCATCCCCCGAGGGGTCCCAGACTGCGAGATGGCACAGGCTGGGCTGAGGGACCCCCTCGAGTGCACAAATTTTTGTGCACTGGGCCTCTAATTATGTATATAAAACACTCAGCATATAATAGGTGACCAATAAGTGCTAATTTAAAAAAAAAAAAAAAGATTCCTCTTGCTATAGCTCTCCTCCCTTGCCCTTTTCAGCCATGTTTCTTGAAAAATGACTTTTACTATTTGGTAATTTCCCCTTTGCACTGCAACTCAGTACAATCTGGCTTTTATTCCTGACATTGCTCACCAAAAATCTCCTAAAACAAACTAGATGTGTTAATAGAGCTTCAAGTCATTTCTTAATCTTTTGTGTATATAGTCAGTTAATAAATTTCTCCTGGTTTCCATGACACCAGAGTCTTCCCAATTTTCTTAATTCTCATTCCTTTTTATTCTTCTTTGCTGCCTAAATTCTTTGAGTAGTATCTGTCTTCAACTTTTGAGTGTCTGGAAAATGCATGATTCTTTCTTATGAGATTGGAGTTAGAATTCTGGCTCTCCTACTTACCAAACTGAGTTCCCAAGTTATTTAACTCACCTGAGCCTCCATAGTCTCAACTATGAAAAGGTGGCTCCTCTCCTCGACAAACATCTTAAATGGAGTCATTGTACACTGAACCTGACCTTCTCTTTGGCGTAATGGACTAGTAGGCATAAACTGGAATTCCAGGCTGGAAACCCATTTCATAGCATAAGTATATCAAAACTCAAACAAATCATATACTCTCCATATTTATTAACAGTATAAAACTAACAATATGAGCTGTAATATACATGTTCCTTTGAGGTATTTTTCTTCATGGTCTGGACTGGCTGTTTCTTAGACTCTTAGTTTAATGAAGTTTGGAAAGAATATGCCATCTTTTCCTGGTAATCTTCCCAAGATATTAATCCTTACTCCAGAGACCTTTGAACTGCATTGAAAATTAATGTCATCTGCCACAAAGGAAAAAAATAGTTCAATGATGTTCAGGTAAATGCCTCTCAAAGTTTTTCAAAGCTAAATGTTGGACAGTTTCAATTATGTCTTACTTTTCCATTTTTATAAAAATATACTTTGTTGAGCTCTTGAGAAATTTCTAACAATACAACCAGGTTTGCAGGAGAAACTTCTAGATCCACTCACTCTGCAATGTCAATCAGTTTCAGTGATGCTTTTTACAGTAATACAAATGCCTTCAAAATACTGAATGAGGCAGTTTCCTCCAAATTCCTAGTGTCAGGCTTCACTTACAATTTTCACAATATCCAAAACACTTCCAAAATTCCTTTTTGATCCATCCTGCTTGATTGCTTTGACCTTTAAAAATTTCACAATAAAAATACCTTAGTATGCAACAACTTATTTGATCTGTTGGCTAAAGTCAATGAGATGCTTTGTGGAGATAAATGGAGAGGAAGCAAAACAAATGTCAGGATAATGCTGCTTAAGAATTCGGAGACGGCTTGAAGCA